CCGCGGCGGACGGAGGATGAACCCGCAGGCGGCGCCGCCGCCTCCTCGTCGGGGGCACAGCCAGCCCGGGGCGACGAGGAGGAGCCGGACGGCGCCCCGGAGAAGGGCAGGAGCTCAGGCCCCAGTGCCAGGAAAGGCAAGGGGCAGATCGAGAAGAGGAAGCTGCGGGAGAAGCGGCGCTCCACCGGCGTGGTCAACATCCCCGCGGCGGAGGTGAGCCGGGACGGGGGCCGGACCTGGTTGGGCAGCCGCCTCCTTGTGTCTTTTTTCCGGGAGCTTCCTCGATCTCCGGGGCCCAGGGTTCTCGAACCCCTTCAGCTCGTACTACTTTTCACTGAGTTAGGCAGGCAGAGGGTGATGGAGTTTTACTCCGAAAAAATGCTTCCCCAAATCCGCAGTAGGACACGTGCTTTTCAGGTTTCCTGGCTGAGCTCTCAAACCCAGGAGACTTTCTTAGTTTGGTGCAAGACAGCTTCCCACCTGGACTTGTTTGTACTTGATCAGCTAGAGAAATTGATTAATGGCGATAACCAAGCATTCTGTTTACTTTCCCACGTGTCCATGTCAAGTTATCAGATTATCTCCTCGCTTTGCAGTGTTTTATAGCACCTGTAAAGAAAACGTGCCCATAGCAGCAATACCCAAGACAACTTGTATTTCAGTGAATCTAAGATGAGTATATCCAGACGAGTATATGCGCTGTTTCGTATATGTAACCCAACTTTTTGAAATAGTGCTCCCCAACACACACACACACACACACACACACACACACACACACACACACAGTTGTTTTTTTTTTTTTTTTCCCCTGAATGATGCTAAGGACAATGGGAATGCTGTAGCAGCCCGTAAGTCTTTTTGCTGAGATTTGGCTCTGGACATTCTGGAAAACATTTGTGGTAGGTTGGGTTTCTTTCTTTTTTGGTAATTTTGAACAGTCTCAAAACATTTCTGCAGGCAGCAGCATCTTCCCATCAGAGTGACCGGAGAAAAATTTTTACTTGATATATAACTCCACCTCTCTTCACCCTCAACTAAATAAACAATACTAAACAAGCTTTGGCTACTGTAATAGTAGCTTACCAGCTTTGGGAAGTGATTCAACAACCTTGTTTCACCCAGAGTAGTTGCATCTTTACTGACTGACTTTTAAGCTTTTACTTTTTTTATTTTTATTTTTTTAACTTTTGTCCTTCTAATTTACTCATTTGGTACTTAGGAAGTAATTAGTAAGAATTTATTAACTTCAGTTGTGGGGTAAGTAAAAGCACTTGCAGTAAGTTATGGTGTCTACCAAATATACCCCAAATTTGAAGTGAATATGATTTCCATACCTGGAAAATCAGAGTTTGTCTTTGGTATTTTTTTCCTGAGTATTTCAGAGAGATTTTTATCAGCCAGCAAAACTGTCCTCTGTGGTTTGCTACTGGCACAGAAGATCTGTTATTCATTAAATTGCTTTAAAAGGAATTCATAAGGGCAGTAATCAAATTTCTAGGTTTTTTTTTTTTAAGTTAAAATATGAAGATTAAGGGGCAACTGCAGACAAGACTTTGGAAAAGCTACATTCCTCAGTTTATTTTTAAAAGTAACTAATGGCCCAAATAAAATAATTTGTTATTTTCAAACTTTTACTCATTGTTCATTTGACAGGGGTCTTATTTTGGGAAACTTTTTGGCAGATGTTGAACTTCATTATTGTCTGGCTGTTTCTACTAAAAATTGTTATTTCTTAAGTACTGCGTTTTTGCTCTTTAACAAGGGTGATGTTTCTGGGTGAAATAAGTATGGTGGACTTGTGAGAGCCCAAGAAACATCCTTTGTTAATATGCCTGCTTTGGTTAAGGAAACAGTGCTGAGAATGTAGATGACTTCCCACTACAATTGAGTCTAATACTCAGGAATGTTTTTCACTTGGGTGTTGGCAACTCCTAAATTTAATCTTTCTTAAAAACAAACAACCCAGGGTACCATTTTTTTGTCTGTGGAATTTGAACCTTTTTATTGAGTATGGAATTGAGGACAGCTTTCTTTTTTTTAGTAACTATGACGTTGCATGCTGTAGAACCCAGCAATGTTTACCATAGTATCTAATTAGTCTGGCATACTTTGAGAGCCTGCTCTCCTATATATTCAGCTTTTAAAAAATAACCTAAGGTTTTGAGATTATTTTAATGGTGGTAAAATACATGACAGAACTTTAAAAGTCATCTGTTTGCTGCCTTTTTAGAATTGTCTTTTTCTTGTGTCAACATTGGGAATGTCATTTGTGAAATTTCTGTGTAATAAAATTCAGTACTGTTTTAAAATTCATAATTTTTATAAAACTTATAAAAATATTGTGAATGTGGAAAACAATCTCTCAATATTCAATTATATATAACGTGTGAGACTCTTTTATTTTCAGGCATTAATTTATTTTACTCATCACATGGTATTGTAAAATTGTTATAAAAGTACCTGATAGTCACCATGAAAGACACCAAGAGCAAGATGGTGTGGGCAAGGGTGCTGGTCAGAAATTGCAACTGGTGGATGGGCTCACGATGACTGTAACAAAAAGTGCAAATATATAGGTGCTCTTTGGTGAGATAAACTTTAGTTATTTGCATATACTTAGAGATGTAAAATTTTCTAAATTTTTACATTTTCTGTTTTCTTGGGGGAAGTAATTACCAAAATTAGAAAATTTGGATGTGTTAAATTTCTTGCCAGTTATTTTTGTGTACGTTGTGATCTGGCACATGAGCCAGATGTTTATTATCCTTGTTCACGATATTATAAGCACTGTGGAGGGAGTGAGAAGAATAAGTAATGTTACCATCTCAAGGAGTAAAGACGGATAGGATAGATTACCTGGGGGAAAACCTAACGTGCTAAGTTAACATCTTAAAAACTGTCATAACTCAGAATTTAACTAATTGTTTATTAGAAACATTATATGTTTAAATTGAAGAGATGTTTAGGCTTAGGAAAGCTATTCCAGTTGAGGGTTACGAGCTGAGACATGTATTTATGAACCTATATATTTACACATGTGTTTGCACATATCTGTACACATACTTTCAATATCGTAGTTCAGTAGTTCTTAACTGTGGTAGTATATTGAGATGATATGAGGATCTTTAAAAAGTGCTCCCCTGGCTGATTACTTTCCTTCTCCTCCCTGACTCCCTTATGATTTAATATTTTGATAAGCTCCTCGTGATTTAGTGTGAGTCAGGACTAAGAACTGTTGGGCTGCAGTTGGGGATACAGAAACTAGTAGGCAAAGGCTTTGCCAACAGGGGTTCTCAATAATGAAAGGAAATATGATGAAAACAATGTTAAATACAGCCCACCGAATACAGGGTAGCTACCTCAAGGAGAAGGGGATAGTTGAGAAACTACCATTGTTACGGAATGCTTTTGAAGTAGTAGCCTTTGAGTTAGTTTGCATGAATGGATTAATAAAGGTGGTTATCATAGAAACTTAATATTCCAATAGGTACAAGTCAAATGACACTGAGGTTTTCATTTAAATATGAAAGTTAGTATGTTGAAACTTACTGTCTTTGTAGTGTTTGTGCTGATTTAATTAACATTCAACAATATGTAGTTCCTGTTATTAATCTGTTCCTATTTCAGAGGAGAAAATGGAGCCTTAGAAAGTTAAAGCGACTTTAGTCTATATTGAGAAATGATTGAGTGATAAAGCGGTATTTTAAATATGATTTGTGTTTGGGGTATGTATGTGTCTAGGGGGTAGAGTACTTTTAAGAATTAACCTACCTTTATCATTTAACTTTATTTCCCCAGAGTTTTTTCTATAACTTTTTGTTAGAGACTATCTTATTTAAGTATCTGAATGGAGAAAACAGTGAAAGTATGAAATTGAATAGATGCTAAGGTAGAATTTGTGGATTCAAATATTGGTTCCGACCTCTAAGTATGTAATTTTCTTGGCAAAATTTTGAACATTTTTCCTGTCAAAAATATAAATAATTTTGGCTATCAGGAAATCTGGATCTTTGATTTGATTTATGTGATAATGTTTTTCTGTATGATGGATCGAAATACCTATTCCAAAGTTTGAAGGAACAGTTAGCTTTTAAGAGAACACCATTGAGTCTTAATAATTCAGCATATCTATTGAACAAGGGCAAGTTTCACTTAGTGAACCTTATAAGTCCAGGTAGATTAGGAAATGCTTTTTGGTATGCCCATTATATTCTAGACCGTCTACCTTTCTATGTGATGAGTCAGGAGAGGAACGAGTAGTGACTCAGATGGAAAATTGGATTCATGAATAAGATAATGTATAAACATAGAGGCTACTTAATAAGATGTTAAGCTTAACTTCTTTCTGTGTTTGAGTGCATTGATAAAGTTGAACTTTTAATAGTATTAGCTTTTGTAATGAGATATCTAAACTGAGATTCCTCTTTCCATGAAAATAAGTATATAATTAAAGCAGATTACAGTTAAGGGTGTACTCATTGTCAGGTACTATTCCAAGCACTTCATATTAAATATACTGAATATGTTTGTTGTGTAGCACTAACTGTTGTCATCTCCATAACTATTCATTTCCGCTTATAAAACTGCAGTTTTATACCTATTAAACAATAACTTCCATCCTTCACTCTGCCACTGCTGGCAACCACCATTATAATTTCTGTCTTTAGGGATGGATTTGTTTGTGTTATATGCTATTAAAATACTTAAGCATTACTTCACTGGGAAATGACCCTACTGGCTCTCTGCCCTATGATGTAGATTTATGAATGGCAGATAGTTGTCCTAAGATATTTATTTCTTCCTTGGGTCATTCAAAAAGTTTTTTTTTTTAAATTTTTTTTAGGTTTATTTTATTTATTTATGCATATAGGAACTGAGTGCAGGCCAGAAGTGCAGGGGGCTGAGAAGATTCATCAGAGACAGCCTGGGGAGCAGGACAGGCAGAGCCCCTGAAATACACTGTTGAGGAGAGCAGAAAGTATGACAGGAGAGGTCTGCCTCACCATGTGGGCTAGCTCCCTATCTGGATATGGAACTCATTCCACAGTGGCTACTGATAGTGTGATTGTGCTGAGTGAGATTTTACCCCTTGCACACCCAGTAAGGCTAATTCTTAAAGAGTCTTACAGGTACTAAGATTTTCAGATAATTGTGAAGGATGTCCAGAGGAGGGTTTTCATGGTTTGTTTTTGTTTTTATCTTCTATGCAG